CATCTGCGCTTCACGACAAAATGGCGACCGATGCAGAGCATAAAAGAAAGTACACGCAGAGTCAGAAAATGGTATTAACCCACATATTCTGCGGCGGTTTTCTGTTGGCTTGCTTTTTCTTTACGGCAGTGTTTTTCCCGTTCCCTAAACCGCACCTACCAACCTTATTTGACAGAGTTGTGTTCACCCTTCGCTGGCTGATCGTGTCTCTTCTCCCCGTCTGGGCTGGAGTCATTTTGGTTGGAAACGTGCGATTTGCAACATCTGCTATTGACCCACTTGACCAAAGCGGCGAGAAGTACATAAAAATGCGTTCGAATTTTCTTCAGAACACCGTTGAACAGTTCTTACTCCATTCTTTTGGTCTCACTGTTTTGTCCACTTATTTGTCTGAGGAAAGTATGCACTGGGTACCTCTCCTGGTGATCCTGTTCGTTGTCTCTCGAGTTCTGTTTTTCGTAGGCTACTCTATACATCCTCTTAAAAGATCCATTGGATTTTTCATGACATTTGCCCCAAGCGTTGCGGTCATGCTATATTCTTTGTGGTGCTTGATTGTTTATGGATTTGACGCGTATCGCTGAGAAAATAAAGCCGCTTAACTTTGGTTTACTGTGGACTGAAGCCAAGAGTTCCTTTATAAACTGTACTGCCTGATACCAAAGCCTTCAGTTACCATAATTTTTCAGACAGGAAGAGCTGTAAGACTCCTTTACAAAAGGACCTAGTAAAGTGACAAAAGGTATCTCATAGCCTACGTGTAGCCGTACCCTCCCCTCCTCAAGGTAAAACGTTTCACCTTGCGGGGGAGGGTACGGCTACACGTAAGCTAGGTATCTCTTAGCCCATCAAAATTACGAATACGAGCCTTTCTGTTGCAGTAAATCAGTTGAAAAGTATTTGATGTAGCAGCCTGAGAATGTCTGAAATGTGGATGAATTTACAAAGGTGACATCAAATCTTTTTTTCAAATAAAATGATAGTCAGCGATGGAACATGAGACATTAGTTTTTTTAGAACAGTTCGATGGATGTTGATTATATATTTGTTTTTATGAAGCCGCTATCATTATCATAACTATTATCACTATAATTATCACTACTAATACTATTATTGTCATATTCGGAAGAGTCGAGCATTTCTTTGGAGTATTCCCTCGTCTAGGTGGCTACAGGGGTACACTTGACTCCTCACTCCCCTCCCCACAGTTCTTCGAAGGTCAAACATACCGATTACATATAAGATGCATTTATCAAAGCTCCGAGCAGCATCTGCGATTGAAAGTTTTCGTTTTGTCGTTGAACTGGGTGTTCTGATGTCCAATATGATTAACACAATTGTTGAAGTCAATGAGTAGTCTTGTAACCATACCTTCCACGGCCAAGCAGTAGTTATGACTCACTACATTTTGGTTGCGCGCTAGGAGATACGAGATTAGTCCATAAGTTGAACAGAAAGTAGCTTGAGCACAATAACTGCTGTGACTGAGATTAACTGCAAAAATACAACCTATAGGCTTATAGTAACAAAAAAAAAGGAAACCTAATGCGTGCGCCACTTTAGAAGTCATAGAATGTTTGGCAGTTAAGAAAGTACTTACAATAAAATTGATGCAGAATTATTACATTTATCTGATGGGAGCAGCGTTTATAATAATATTCTCTTCGCTTTGATTGACATTCGATTTTTATTTTCACTAGGGAAAGACAGAAGAAATTCTTCTACTGAAACAAAGTGGACACAGTCCGTTTTCCAAAACTCAAAACTGAACATGTATGCAAATATTTGAATTGCACGTGAAATAATTAATTATTAACCATCAATACAACCTCTTGTCTGAATTAATTTGGTGCAAAAACGTAAGCAACGCCTTCACTACATATCACATAAGTTCTTCAACCGTGTGCCACATTTTCTTCAAAGTGAAAGGAAAAAACTGAATCAGAGAATTAGATATCAGGCTTTATTTTTATGAAGTGTTTCTAATCATGGAGACTCAATCTAAAAAATGTTTGAGAATTTGTCATCTCAATAGTTTATATTCTGTCAGAATAGCAAGTGACAAAAGAAATAAAAACACAAAAGCTTCTCTCTAGGTTTTAGGATTTTTCATCGTTTTCACCTCTCTCTCTCTCTCTCTCTCTCTCATGAACAATTAGGATTGTTATGGTTAAATTTAATAGCTATTTCTGAGTTAAGTTTAATTAAAGCCAGTTAACTTTTTTAGGCAAGGTAAGGCTAAATTGCTGCGTGACCCAAATAAAAACCTTGACTATAAAATACAAAAGAGGCCAGGTGGAAATTTAGGCTCAACAACGCACGACGCTATTCACGTTCATGGCCTATATTCTGTCGTGGCTATCTTCTACTCGCATTCTTAGCGCGAAGACATATCGAAAGGGGGATTAGGGAGGATTGACTCGTTAATCCTTTCCAACTCTTGAATAACCTCACGTAAGGGAGTTCCTTAAAGTATGCGACCATTATCCTTTGATAAACAACTTCTTCAAGGTGATTGGTTCTAATTCTTTACACTATAATATCAATTTCACCTTATTTGAAATACTAAGAGTTATCTTTGAAGAGGATTGCTGTGTTACTGCAACAGAGACACACGTTTGAGGTATCGACGCGATCAGATTTTTTAACTTAGTGGTGATGTATCGCTCTAGTGGTGCTTACCATAACAGCAGAGCTGCTGGCTACACAGCTGGTTCAGGCCGATCAAATGATTATTCCGCAAAACCAGTTTCCTCGACATCTTCGGTGTACTCTTATAAACCAAGTTCTTCCTCAATTCAACCGGGCACCTCCGCCACTGCAAGTCTGACCGGCTCAAGATCGCCGTCAGCGAGCTACATTACAACAGGCGCCAACCGATCGAGTGGTGAACTATCTTCAGTTAATCGGGATGCAGACCCCTCGAGGTAAGTGCAGTTACCTTATGCAGTAAAATATTTCCATTTAGGACCAGCTTCAAGTACATCAGTTTGAATTTATTTGGAGCCTGCAGCGATTCATTTATGTTGCCTGAAAAAAGTAACTCCAAAAACTAACTTACGATATCACCTTGGAAAGAAAGTGATATGATGCTTTTTTTTCTTCTCAACGCCTTTCTCCTTGAAAATTTATCTGCGAAATTGGAAAAAAAATTATATTTTTGTCACTCTTTGAGTGAGAGGGTAAAACCAAACTCACTAGATACCCTGACCAATGACTAACACAAGAAAATCGCCGACAATAAAACAACAGTTTTCAGAATTTCGCCTTTAAGAGTAAAACTAAGAAACATATGAAAATGATCCACTGTAACAACTTCTCGAATCAACCCACGTGTTAAACTAGTTCTGACTGAGAACCCACATGCTAAGCTTTTTAAGATAACTTAATTTAGAAATTCAGGACAAGCAAAAGAAAACAATTCGAAAGCGACATATAAAAAGACTTCAATTACTTTAATACTGATGAGTGAGATTACAAGACAATGTCGAATATAATAAATTCGCTTGATGTTGGACCAGAAGCACGCCTCAGATATAAAAATCAACAGAAGAACAATATTACTGAGGAATAATATTATCTGATCTATAACAGGATGAATAGAACGTCTTGGAAAATCGGGGAAGTGAGAGTACCGAAAAATGAAACAGAAATTAAACAAAAAACTGATACTCTGAGAGAGAATAGTTTGTGAATACGAATTTATTGAAAGAGTGATAAGTGCTCAAAGAAAATTATTTCCCATTTGGATTAGAAAAAAAATGCTGTACTTGCAGAGCGGATGAACCAATACAAGATAATTTAGATTTATCACCTGAGTTGATTATGCAAATCGGCCACCCTAAAGAGTTTCTAAGCTGGCATTTCGAGCGTTAGCCCCTCTTCAGAGCGAATGGAGGAATTTTGGGTTGTGTGTGTGTGTTTACACATTACCTTTTGACCCGTCGATGCAACGCCAGGGAATTGTGGGTAGCTCTTTCTCTCTTTCAAAGGGACAAAAAATATTTGGATTGGTATTAGTTTGTATGGATGAAGAACAAAGTGGAACCTATATTTAAATCAAAGCGGATTATCTGCTCTTTCTTTGGCAATATCGAGTTAAGTAATAAATCCTCATCGATTAACATTAACATAGAAAATTCCATCCATCTCTGAGGGCAAAACAAAATACAAAATCGGTAAACTTATGAAATTAATGCACGAATGGATGTAACACGCTGGCTTTTGAATGCGTAGTAAATGAAATTCATTATACCAGGTCTATGAAAAATTTTTTATAAGAAATATGTGGTTCAGATTGTCCTCAAATAAATCTGTGTTTTTTATTATCACTGTTACATCAGATGGTACTCCGGGTCAGGAAGGACTTATGACTCTATCAGGTCAGCAGACGTCTCAGGAAAACCAGTCGTTTATTCTTTGAGTAACACTTCTCAACCAAGTGCAGCCACCTACACTGGGAGTTCTACTCGCCCAGTCACAAGTACTGTTAGGTAATTTTTATCTAGAACAGATTTGGTTGAGTTCTGTTAGGGAAACGTGTCTCCCATTATTAAGATTAGGAAAGCTCCTTTTAGAAGCACTAATCAGCCATATACCATTTTTGCGGGACTTAAGTATATACCAGCGGCCATGATTCAAACTACTCCTAATTTCAACGGATTAAGCTATTGTGTTCATGAGTTAATTTTAGACTCGATCGCCGCCGCTGTTCGGGTAATGATCCCGCGCTCCCTTTCCGAAGTCACAAAGAGACGAAGTTCCTTCCTGTTTGTCAACAGTTGTTGGCCTGACCAGTCAATTTTCGGCAGACAACTTGTTGAAAGACAATGGGAGGTCGTTACTTTCTTATTTCAGACCTGCTGGATCTTATGGTTCAGTGAGAGCAAGTGTTTCTAGCCAGCCTACAGAATCATCAGTAAGACTGAAAACTCAGCCCATATACACCTCTAGTTATTCTCTCAAGCCATTCACGGTGAATTCCACTGCTACAAGCGGCGGTTCAGCGCATTTCAGCACACCTGCTGGCACCGGATCAACAAGTGTCCGCGATACTTTTTCTGCCCGCGGAACTCCGAGGTAAGAACTTGTTTCGGTTACGTAAAATCATGGACCTCGAGCACGTTTCAGTTTTTTTGAAAAATTAGTCGATTCTCAGTGGAGAAATAAACGACAAACGCAGAGCCATTAATTTCTTTTTCAGAACTATTGCAAGTTATGCATCAGAGAGGGTATCTGAAGCTAACCAGCCCACAAGAGAACCAAGGTAAACGCTTGATTTCAGCTATGTGCGAATCATGGAATTGGGTGGTTTGTTTTTTTTAACCCCTGTTCAACGTTTGCATTTGCGCAGACATATAGACGCTACGTTTCACGCATGCGCTCCTCTTCCTGCCCGGATTGGATAGAGTGAGATGTCGAGCCTAAATGTCCTCTAATCCAGTCAGATGCAAAACTAAAACTAATGACGACTTAGTCTCGTGTACTTTCCTGAAAAGAAATAGTTTACATTAAATTGCCTTCATTTATTCCTAGCTCCTTTCCTTAGTTTTATGAACAGTTGTGATAACCTTAAAGACTACGACTTCCCCAAAATAAGCAAGTCAATCGGGAAGCACATAGCTTTTAAATTTTAAAGGAAGGAAAAAGGGGTGGGGTGGGGTGGGGCTAAAACATTTATATGTAGGTCTGGGACTTTCTTCCCTAAAAAAATCGTACATGCAAAGGCTTAGATATCACAATCCGCCATTCCTTAATAATCTCAGATTAAAGTAAGTTTGGTGATCGGTATTCCAGTCGTCCTAGCAAAGGACAAAGTTATTTTGAAGAAAAAACTGCGTTTAAAATAGTTTGATTTTCTGATTTGATTTCACCATGCAAGGACGTCGTCTTATACTGTACCGGCACGGACATATGTCAATACAAGGCCAACGGAAAG